GTGCAATATGTTTTTTTTTAATGAGGAACATTATTAGGAAATAAATGCCACTGAAATGGAAATACAAAACAATATTTTTTATGTCATCCTCATTGGAGATATGGAAATAAAAATTTCTAAGTAGCGTTCTTTAAATATATGCGTGTTACAATCTGTTACTAAGTAACTCTCTTCCATACTCAGACATTTATTACAAACTGTTGCAAAGCTTTTAAATAAAAAGTTTTTAATAATAATATATTTATTAATTATTATAAACAGATAATAATTAATGGATGACACTGTCGACATAATGCGCAAGCTGAACAGGTAGCGTCGTTGATAATAAGAAAAAAAAAGAGATAATAATTAATATTTCATAATTACATATAAATAAACAGCATTTCTAAGAATTCTCAATTGTAATGTCTGACCATTGTTATAAATTTAATTTCTTGCATCAATATGTTTTTGTTGTAAAAATTGAAAGTTAGTATTTAATATTTATAGCCAATAACTCTTTGAACACCCCACTTCGCCATATAGTATAGAAATATATCTCCATCTATCCTACCACTACCCTGGTTTCACAACCTTAATCTCTCCAGGAAAAGTTTATCTTCGTTCTCACGTCTTCGTTTTGGTCATACACTAGTTCTTTCCTATTCTTTTAAACTATCTTTGAATGATTCTCCTCTCTGCACACTCTACAATAACCCTATGGTTCGTGGTATAAGTCACCTAATCTCTTATGCCCCAGCCTATCAACTCAATGAGATCAACCTTTTCCCCTATTAAATTCTGCCAACATTCCTATTGATACTAAAAATATCCTTCAAATTAAAGAAAATATTATATTGTACATTTTATCCTTTTTCAACAATACAGGCTTTTTAATATAATCAGACATCTTATTTTCTTTCTTTCTTTAGTAACTTATTTATATTTTGTATTTTATGTCATGTAATTGTTGAAACTAATTGTAACACAAAGTTTAAATTAAAAAAAAAAAATCTTTTTGCCAATATTTTTGATAAAATTTATAAAGTAGGATTGGATGTACATTCTTCTAAGTTTAGTGACACATACAATATCAACAATATACTAACATGATAAAAAAAACAATTTAAAATCAAAATTTAGAAACATCTCTTTACTCTGTAAATAGGGTCACTAAACTTAACCAGTTTTAATACATCAAAATACAAAAAGCAATCATTAATGTTTAAACTGTTAACTAACAGTGGATGGCAAAAAAATTATGGAGTAGAAGAGTGATAACAAACGAGTATTATTTTTTAGATTTAAGGTTTAAGATTAACCTTTGTAATATGCAATTTATTTAAATAAATTTGGTAAAAAATGATTTAAAGAACTCACAAAATTTGTTGGCATCCTCGTAAGAAAGTATTTCTGAAATTAAATTAGCAGTAGCCATTAAAGTCACAATTGATGTGGCTGTTGACAGAGCACCAGGAGTAAAATCTTGGAACATAGAAGTAGCATCTAACCGTGCAGCAACAATAGMAACAGATTGATCTGGTGTATTTGGGTGTAGTTCTTTTAGAGACCAATACACATTCTTATCACCCAACGGATCACAGAATTTAACTAAACAAATTAAAAATATTAATAATTAAATATAATATATCAATATAATAAAAGAATCATATGTTGTCCCTCTCTCAGATCAAGAGGACTTGGCTAAAAAAAATTATTACCATCCCCTTGGGTATGACTGAAATTCTATTATGTAGTGTCTTTCAAAATGGAACAACCAAAAGATTAAAATAGGTAGAATTCAGATAAAAAATCCCATATAAAATATAAAAATGATAAATATTATAACTTAAACTATTTACTTGGTCTTATATTTTGGTATGACATCATTGTCCGTCTCAAACACGTTTTGGAATCTACAGCAGCATACATATGAGATTTCAATTCAAGAGCACATAAAGAATGATCATTTTGATTATTCAAAGGTAAATTATGATTTTCAAAGCACTGGAAAAATAATTAATGTTAAGTACTTATCATTAACATTATAAATTTATAACTAATGTATTTTATGAATAAACTTTAATACATAAAATAGGGACTAAATACCACAATAATACTAAATGTTGTCTCCTAAATAATAAAATATTTACAATACTAATAATCAAACTTTTTCATGTAATTTAACAGAGAGCCATTTATAAGCTTTATAAAAAAAAGTTGAACAATGGCTACTAAATGCCAATAAAAAACAACATTTTATGTATTTAAATTATCACTAATATTTTAAATTAAATTTATATTAACTTCAGGAGGTATTTCTCTTCCACTGATATTTTAAATCAATCTTTTTATTAATCTTATAATTAAAATATCGATTTTGTATTTAAATTGAAAAATAAATTATTACTTTAAAAATAAGTAGTGTTTTATAAATAAAAATAATCTAATATCCCAGATTTTTATTTAATGATTAATGATAACTTTATTTTAAATAATAAATTGTTAAGAGTATCTACAGAAATTAACATTTAACATCCAATTTTTATGATGATAATTTTTAAAGTAACAAACTGATTATTCTTACATCTATAATATTTTTGACGGTGTTTTGATCATAAACAACAAATATAGGGAAACTCCAACTTTTTAAAAGAATATCAGTACCATAAGGGTTCCATGGTTTCATTGGACAACTGTCAACACCTGAATAATGGTTAGGACATGTATCTTCTGGACTAAATCCATTATTTTGTAAATTATCATTATTTATTACTTCTTGTTCTGTACCATTCAATAGTAACATTATACCATTTACTTTAGCACTCAATTCAATGCTTTGTAAAACCTCTCTGCAAAAATCAAGATATTTTATAATTTGAAATCATTTATAACAAACAATATGTATTTCAATCTTAAGCCAATCATTTATTTATTAAGTCTTTGAATGTAATTAATACCGTCAACCAGGCCAACTTAGGGGCAAACTAGTTTTGAAATTCTATTATAAATAACATTAAATTTAATTATTCTAGAAGTATTTTCAATATAACATTTTTTTCTAGTTAAGGTTTGATTTATTAATTTCTGTTGCATTTAAACCAAACAAATTATTCCTTCTATGTGTTTTTTTTATTTTTCTTCTTGCCTCATGTTGTACCGAATATTGACAACATGGAGCATTCATGTTTTTCTTATGAAAAATCTATTTTATAATTTACTTGAACCAACTTGAGGCACTATTTTATTTTATTTTTAAATACTAGATAATAATCTGAATTTAAAAAATATATTTT